GGCCTAAGAATACAAAAAAAAATAGGATGGCCTAAGAATACAAATAGGATGGCCTAAGAATACAAATAGGATGGCCTAAGAATACAAATAGGATGGCCTAAGAATACAAATAGGATGGCCTAAGAATACAAATAGGATGGCCTAAGAATACAAATAGGATGGCCTAAGAATACAAATAGGATGGCCTAAGAATACAAATAGGATGGCCTAAGAATACAAATAGGATGGCCTAAGAATACAAATAGGATGGCCTAAGAATACAAATAGGATGGCCTAAGAATACAAATAGGATGGCCTAAGAATACAAATAGGATGGCCTAAGAATACAATAGGATGGCCTAAGAATACAAATAGGATGGCCTAAGAATACAAATAGGATGGCCTAAGAATACAAATAGGATGGCCTAAGAATACAAATAGGATGGCCTAAGAATACAAATAGGATGGCCTAAGAATACAAATAGGATGGCCTAAGAATACAAATAGGATGGCCTAAGAATACAAATAGGATGGCCTAAGAATACAAATAGGATGGCCTAAGAATACAAATAGGATGGCCTAAGAATACAAATAGGATGGCCTAAGAATACAAAAAAAAAAAAATAGGATGGCCTAAGAATACAAATAGGATGGGCCTAAGAATACAAATAGGATGGCCTAAGAATACAAATAGGATGGCCTAAGAATACAAATAGGATGGCCTAAGAATACAATAGGGATGGCCTAAGAATACAAATAGGATGGCCTAAGAATACAAATAGGATGGCCTAAGAATACAAATAGGATGGCCTAAGAATACAAATAGGATGGCCTAAGAATACAAATAGGATGGCCTAAGAATACAAATAGGATGGCCTAAGAATACAAATAGGATGGCCTAAGAATACAAATAGGATGGCCTAAGAATACAAATAGGATGGCCTAAGAATACAAATAGGATGGCCTAAGAATACAAATAGGATGGCCTAAGAATACAAATAGGATGGCCTAAGAATACAAATAGGATGGCCTAAGAATACAAATAGGATGGCCTAAGAATACAAATAGGATGGCCTAAGAATACAAATAGGATGGCCTAAGAATACAAATAGGATGGCCTAAGAATACAAATAGGATGGCCTAAGAATACAAATAGGATGGCCTAAGAATACAAATAGGATGGCCTAAGAATACAAATAAGGATGGGCCTAAGAATACAAATAGGATGGCCTAAGAATACAAATAGGATGGCCTAAGAATACAAATAGGATGGCCTAAGAATACAAATAGGATGGCCTAAGAATACAAATAGGATGGCCTAAAAAAAAAAGAATACAAATAGGATGGCCTAAGAATACAAATAGGATGGCCTAAGAATACAAATAGGATGGCCTAAGAATACAAATAGGATGGCCTAAGAATAACAAAAAAAAAGGCCTAAGAATACAAATAGGATGGCCTAAGAATACAAATAGGATGGCCTAAGAATACAAATAGGATGGCCTAAGAATACAAATAGGATGGCCTAAGAATACAAATAGGATGGCCTAAGAATACAAATAGGATGGCCTAAGAATACAAATAGGATGGCCTAAGAATACAAATAGGATGGCCTAAGAATACAAATAGGATGGCCTAAGAATACAAATAGGATGGCCTAAGAATACAAATAGGATGGCCTAAGAATACAAATAGGATGGCCTAAGAATACAAATAGGATGGCCTAAGAATACAAATAGGATGGCCTAAGAATACAAATAGGATGGCCTAAGAATACAAATAGGATGGCCTAAGAATACAAATAGGATGGCCTAAGAATACAAATAGGATGGCCTAAGAATACAAATAGGATGGCCTAAGAATACAAATAGGATGGCCTAAGAATACAAATAGGATGGCCTAAGAATACAAATAGGATGGCCTAAGAATACAAATAGGATGGCCTAAGAATACAAATAGGATGGCCTAAGAATACAAATAGGATGGCCTAAGAATACAAATAGGATGGCCTAAGAATACAAATAGGATGGCCTAAGAATACAAATAGGATGGCCTAAGAATACAAATAGGATGGCCTAAGAATACAAATAGGATGGCCTAAGAATACAAATATTTTGCTCATTTACTCCGGACATTCACATCGATGTGACCGATGTAACCTCTGAAGTAAAAAATGTGATTTTAATTTTCGAAAAATTATCATTTCGGAATTTTAGCCTATCAAATTTCTAACAAGAAGTTCGAGAAAAATTATAATAAATCACAAAAAACAATTTTCCCCTTGATTCGATCCTAACAATAATTATAAAATTGTTGAAATAATGTGCAAAATTTTAGTCAAATTAAAAAAATTACGTTGAACTCTAAGTAAATCCATTTCCTTGCTGCCACATCTATAAATGATAAATCCAATTAGAATTTTTTTTTGATTGGCACTTCAAAATTTCAGTTGGTCAAATTTCTAAACTCAATTCCAAAAAGTTGGATATGCTTTAGATAGAAGTAATTACAACCATTTTGTGCCACTGGACATAATAAATATTTTGAAACCTGTGTAAAATATGTTGAAGCAATTCACGCAGTGTGCGTTTCATAAAATAATTTTACAAAGTTTTACAAAATAAAACGACGCCCTTGATCTGAGTATGTATGTAAGTTCACAAAAATTTTCCTTCGAAATATTTGTAAAATTTTGTAAAAGTTTGCAAGTTTACGGATTTGATTAACAAATTTATTTAGTACCAAATTTCTACCACGTTTTGCAAAACTTGTAAAGTTTTACAGTTCGTAAATCCAATTCTGGTCTAGTCGACGACTCCAATTTCGGCTCACTCATTCAAAGAGAAAATGAAATAGAATCATGCTCTGATTTGTAAATTTCTCAAGAATTTTTCTCGACTTCGAAGAGATTTGTTTCTTCCACAGAAAAATATTTAAACACGATTTGCACAATATTTCATAAAAAAAATGGATAAAATGGAAATAAGCTAATGAAAAAGGCAGGAGTTTTTTTTTCGAATAATGGAAAAATAAGTGTAATATTTCAATGTCAGTGAAAAAAGTTGAAAGGTTAAATATATTTAATTTTGTATTTCCAGATGGTTCATGACGAGATCCTTGTCATCAACAATTGAGACTATGATATTTTGTAATTAAAAAAAATTATTAATTTTCATAATGAAAAGATACTCCCCTTCAGACGGGAAATATCGGAGTAGAAATTTTCTTATTTCTAATAAGAAAATTATTTCGAAACCTCGGTTACGAATAAGATATAAATCACGTGAAAATTCGTCCGTAATTCCACTTGTTGGACACAATTTTACACAATTTACTCAGTCATTGGTAACTTCGTATAATACGATTATTTGGAAAAACGATTATACAAACTTTCAAAAAATAAAATGACGCCCTTGATCTGAGCAAGTTTCCAAAAATTTGGAAGCTAACTTTCCTCCGAAATATTTGATAAATTTTGTAGAAGTTTGAAAATTTACGTAATTTACGAATTTTACAATGTTACCAACGACTGCGTGAATTGCCTCACTATTTAAGTTTGGGGTAGACAACTTGATGTTTTTCTTAATTTTGTAGCAATGAAGGAAGTTAAATTATGCAAAGCACAGCCAGGATTTGATTTCATAAAAGATATATTTGCAAAATTTGAACTCCAGAGAAAGATTTTGATCGAAATATAACATGATTTATCTAATTATTATCTAATTATATAATTTATTTAATTGCAGTTTTAGATACGCATAAGGGTATTTAGAGTTGAAAAATTGAGATTATGATGTTTTTTGTAACTTTGAAAACTTATTATTTTATCACAATCAAGTTAAATTTAAATAGCATTTTATGTTTCTATGAAAAACTGCACGTAAGATCGGAGTAGTAAAAAATTATGACAATTTTCGAATTCTGGTTAAAGAATAAGGTAAAAGTTGGCTAATTTATTTTCACTTTTTTGAAACAAATTAGTCGGCTCTCTAGCAATCCTTGATTTGTAATAATTTTATGTAAGTGACATTAAATTCTGAGCAAAGTTTACATCTATACACTTTTTGGAGTACGATTAGGATTTGATTTCATAGAAGAAATAATTGCTAAATTTGATCTCCAGAGAAAGATTTTAAGGAATTTAAATATTTAATTGTTGTATGTAGATATTTGAGATAAATAGAAAAATTAAAATATTTCTTTTGTAATTTGGGAACTTGTTTACTGCGAAGAATATTTTAATTTGATGCGAATCATAAATAATTTTGCTATGAAAAAGTGCAAAATTTTGAAAACATTTTAATATCCTGCATTTTGACATATCTCTGCCTCATCTTTAAACTTCACCCCTATTTAAAATTTTCAAAACATTTTCATTTTGGAATTTTACTTGAACAAATTTCTAACAAGAAATTGGACACTTTTAAATTAAAATAAATTACAATTTTCAAATAAATTACAAATTGCCATTTTTACATGGCATAAGGATGCCATGTAAAAATCTGTTTAATTTTAATTCCTCGACTCATAAACATAATTATAAAACTGTTGAAACAATGTGTAAAAGTTTGAACGTAGTAATATCATAAAAATTAATGTGAACTGGAATTCGATTTTTTGCAAGGGACACACATCTACCAATAATAAATTATTTTATAACTTCCGAATAATTCTCATTCGGAATTTTATTTAGGCTAGTTTAGTTTGGCAAATTTCTACGAAATTTACGAACCTTGAACATGGTTTAAAAGTAATTACAACCATTTTGCAAAACTAGAAATAATTTCTGAAATATTTAAAAAATTATGCACAATTGAAGAGGCAATTCACGCAGTCCTTGGTAACTTTATAAAATCCGCGCGTATTGTAAAATAATTTTACAAAATACAGATACGCAGAATTTGTGGATTTTACCAAGGCCTGCGTGAATTGGCTCACTATTTAAGCTTGGTGTATTAAAATTAGTTTTTTCCCGTAATTTTGTAATAATTAAGGAAGTCAAGTAATGGACACATTTGACGTCGTTTATGTAAGAAATTGCAGATTTATTGATTAATATTAAATATTTAGGTAAATTTGCGGTTCGCACGATTATTTATTTACAATCTTTGATTATTTTATGTAAATGACATTAAATTCTGAGCAAATTTTAGATTTACACACTTTTCGGATCACAATCCGGAATTGACGCCGTCGTTCCATTCGCCGTCGTGCTAACGGTGCCCCTCCGTTTGAAAGAGATTCCTGTAAAACAAAATTGTCAGAAATTTTTAATTTTTTTCGGAAACTTATTTAAAAATATTATTGTTCACATACTTTTGAACATGTTGATGACATCTTGGAATGAGGTGCATCCCAACGCTGTCCGATGTCCAGATGACCACCCGAATGCGACAAAAAGCCAGAATCCTTGGAGGCCGAAGAAGGCGATGCGACTGAAGGCCCACAACCAGTGGAGCGGATGGGCCGCCTCGCGACCAAACGAGATTTCGTACACCGTCGAACCGAAAAAGATTCCCATGAGGAGACAGATTTTTAGGAGGAGGCGAAATCTATGTACAAGGTTTTAGGAGATTTTGAAATGATTTTGTAAAACTTGGATTATGATTTTTAGGAAATGTAGACTACATAACTGTTTCCACAAAATAGGCATTTTCATTAAGTATTTTCATATTTTAGGAAAAGAAAATTGATGAACTTTGCAGAAAGTTAAAATAGTTTTGTAAAGTAGTATTTCCATTCACAAAAATTTGCAAATGTAGATAAACGATATTTGATAGACAGGTGGAAAAGGTTCCTCATTATTATTATTCACGTGTAATAAATGCAACCGAATTATGAACAATTCTCATTTAAGATTACCCATATTTTTAGGAGTCGAGCTCTACACGTTTTTACCTGAGAGGAAATTTTAAAAATATTTCGTAAAATTGGTTTTTAAGAAATGTATAAAATATGGGGAAACTTTTTAAATAATAGAATTATATCTACGCAGATCAATTACATTTTTTACCAATTTTCCCAACAAATTTTCAAAGATTTTGTAACTTATAAAACTTTACTTGGTCGATTTTATCGATTTTGAACTTTTTGTCCTACTCCAGTTTATCTGTAATGTTTCTGAAAATACATAGTTTTCACAGAATTTTTATTGGGCATCCAAGTCTTCCAGATATTTTAAGATTCTGCTAAATCCAAAAATTTGATTCCGTATTGCAAAAATTTGAAAACGTTGACTGACTAAATACATGTATTTTTTAGAAATTACAAATTCTTTAAATTTGCGAACCATTTAATTTACGAAATGTAAATAAGGACGAATGATATTTTTTAACAGAGTTTGATCTTTTCAAGAAATTTGAGACAACTGAAATTTTCGATAAATTTTACACAAACAAATTTGCGTAAAAAGGTACGCTTTTGAAATGTAGAATTTGTTTTCTTAATTTGATGCACGTTTTGCTTCGAGAGCATATTTCATACATATTTTTTTCTTACGTATCCGACGCTAATTTTTTTCGGCCGGATTTGTAAATCGTGGCGGAAATGACGGCCGCCGTGGCGATGAAGTAGACCGTGTTGAGGATGAAGAACAAGGTGTACAGCGCCGTCCCCACAAACCAGGCGGGCGACGCGCAGCGAAAATGACCAAACTCAAAGATACCAACTTCCTGTTGGGAAGCCTTTACACTGAAAAAAACGCAAAAATAAGAAAAATATTATGTAATAATTTTAGAAAATTTGTTAAAAATTATTTACAAAAATTTGTACTTGAAATCAGGAAGTACAAATTTTTACAAATTTATTTAACAACACTTTACAAGTTGTAAACCGAAGTAAATCTTAGGTTCAAACAAATTTACGCCATTTTTTGTAATTTTTTAAATTAGCATTAGAAATAGCATGAGAAAATGGATTTAAGGAAATTAAGCGCAAAAATATTTTAAAAATTTGTTAAAATTGTTCACAAATAGGTTTTTGTAGTTCCTGTAAACCCAGCAAGGTTTAACTAGGAACAAATTAATACGAAGTTTTTCGCTCTTTGTCAGGGCGTTGCCAATTTTTTAAAAATTATGCATCAAATTATTTCTGTTTGCAAAAAAAGCTTGTTTGGTAAAATGAATTTAACGAAATTTACTGTAAATATATAACTTTTGCAAAATTTGTCAAAAATCATTTTCAGAAAGCTCTGTACTTCTTGTAAACTTTGCAAATTTTGCCCGAGAACAAACTTCTGTGAATTTTGTGTACAATAAATTTCGCAAGTATTTATATTTATAAGTTTCGTTGACAAGTATTCCACATTTTTTTGCAAATTGTAAAAATATAATAATTTCTGCAAAAAATAAACTCACTTTGTAAAATGGTTGTAAATTAATCCACCCAAAAGTCCGAGGAATGGTATTATCCATGGGAGCATGATTAAGAAGGTGATGTCTCGACCCTTGGGACGTTTTCGGGCAGAATTAAGTGGCTTCATTTTCCTTAAGAGATTCATAATTTATTCAGAAATTCATACCAAAATAAGGCAATAAAAAAGAAAAGCAGTTCACTCGAATTTGTGCAATTTAATTAAGTGTAAAAAAATACTCAAATTCATATTTACAAAAAAAACAGGGAATTATTAACGCCATTAATAAAAATTGAAGTCACTGGTGTTCAAGTGCTGTAAAATAGATGTGAGTAACTCGTCTTTCTTTCTGGGAGTGCCCACCGGCCACAATTTAAATACAATAAACCAAAATTCTTACAAATTAAAATCATGATACACGCAGACCTTGCTTGGTAGCATTGTAAAATCCATAAATTCCGTAAACTTACAAACTTTAATAAAATTTTAAAAATATTTCCAAGGAAAATTAGCTCACAAATTTTGGAAACTTGCTCAGATCGATCAAGGGCGTCTCTTTGTTTTGTAAAAGTTAGTAAACTTATTTTACACAACTAACCAATTTTACAAATTACCAAGGACTGTGTGAATTGCCTCATTTTTTTACGCTATTTTTTGTAAACTGTGTAAATTTAATTTAAAAATTGTCTCAGAAAATGGTTAAAATTCTAAGAGTTTTAGAGGAATTTTGATCTCTTTTTAAAAAGTATCATGAGATGGATAGACTTCACGTTAACCTTGACCCCTTCAAATTAATCACGTGCTTTATACTTTGTTTATGCCTGGTCCCTCCCAATAAATAAGTGTTGAGGAAAATAAGCAATTTAAATTTACACAATCTGCAATTTGCATCTTGAAAAAGATAACGCTTACCAAAATGTGTACAGCATGTGGGCCGCCAGGCTGAATAAGGTGAATATGAAGACAATCGAGAAATATTGCGCGACCACGGCTGCGGACAAAATTATGGTTTTATTAATATACGAAAAGGATATTTTTTAAGGATACACGCGGGATTATGAACCAACAAAATTTCTAAAATCAAATTTTCATCAAAATTATCGAATAAAAAATATTTCAAAAGTTTTATCAAGTCTTAAAAAAATATGAGCGAAAAATGCATACAACGGATGAAAAGCTTCACCCTTTTTAACCGTATTAATGTAGGACTCGATAACGCATCACCAAAATCAACACATTTTTAACAATTTCTCCGCTCTGGGAATTTATTTTAAAATTCTGAACGACAAATTCATAGTCAGCAAGTTGATTAATAGAAAGGCTTTGAGTTTTTTAAGTCAGTTTCGACGAGTTCCAATTTTTCTGAAGGTTTCCTCAACTTGAGATATCCTCCTTCAAAAACTATCAAAATCTGGAGTGTCATTTTTTTTAAATTGGGAACTGTCTCTTATAAAAATTTGTCGTCCAGAATTTTAAAATAAATTCCAAGAGCGAAGAGATTATTGAAAATGTGCATATTTTGACGATTTTGGGGATGGAAATTAATTATACTGAAATTTGACTTTCTAAATAATCCTTGGGATTGACGGACAGCAACCTATTTTAATTCGTAAAACAGGAAATCATTTAAAAAAATTTTTACCGACTTGTAAGTCTGACAGATCGTAACACAACACGATTCACAAATTCACCTAGCATTCTTTTATGAATAAATTGTCTCATATTTTACATCAGAAGTAAGGTTTTCCACTCCAAACTCCGCTAAATTATGGAACAAAAATGTTTAAAAATACATGTCTGAAACCCTGAAAGACACATTTTAAGCTTAACTGAGACTCGAGAAGGGGTCAAAATTGAGAAGAAAATGGTTTTGAGGTCAAAAGGTCAAAATTTATGACGCTGACATCCTTGGCTCTTCACCCTTGTCGACCGGAAATGGTTCAAATACTTTGTCAAAAGATAATAAGAGTATACTCACGCAGAAATCCGAAAAATTTGCTCAGAATTTAAATTCAGAAATCACCCCAAAGTAACCTAAATATCTAATTACACAAATAAATCTGCAAATTTTTAATAAACGGCGTCAAACATTTCCATAAATTCATCTTTCGTGACTTGTGACAAAATGAAGAAACAGAAACAACCAAGTTTCCTAATTCAAACTTAAATAGCGATCCGATTCACGTGAGTACGCTCAATATTTCACGCAGGCCTTGGTAACCTTGTAAAATTCGCAAATTCCGTAAACTTAAAAACTGTTACAAAATTTTAGGAATATTTCGAACGAAAATTAGCCTCCAAAAAATTTGTAAACTTGCTCAAATCAAATCTTTATTTTGAACATAAAAGTTCGAAAAATTATTTTACAGAATTTACCGATTTTACAAAGTTACGAATGATTACGTGAATCGTCTCAATGTTGTCGTGAAGAGTAATTTGATTGGATACAATAACACTTAGGCGATTCATCTAGACCTTAATAACTTGTAAAATTCGTAAACTCTGTAAACTTACAAACTGTTTCAAATATTTCCGAGGAAAATTAGGTTATAATTTTTCGTAAACTTGCTCAAATAAAGGGCGTCTCTTTATTTTGTAAAATTTTGTAAAATTATTATACAAAATTTACCGATTTTACAAAGTTACCAAGGACTGGGTGAATTGCCTCGCTGTATTTTTGCCAAGTATTTTGACTACCCTTCGTAATCTCACCATGATAAAAGCAGCCAGCCCCCAGTTTGATGTGAAGCCCGTCAAACTTGACCCAGATCCTGGCTCCTTCTGCGACATAGAAGAGAAGGAGGGCGAAAAAGTAGGAGAATTGCAACCACGAATGGATATTTGGACCCAGGCCGCGTTTCACCATGAGAAATATGACCACGGTGAAGGTCAAAAAGGTCGCTGAGACGGTAAACGTCACGCCGTAGAGGAGGCGGTGCAATCTCTGTACATAAATATGCAAATTTTGGGTAAAATGAAATTCACTCGGATGTTCGTAATCCAGTAAAATTTGTAAAATCGTGTAAAATCATGTAAAACGCCTGCGATATGTTTATGCTAAATTTTTGCAACTTGATTTTTTCAAAGAAATTTTTGCAAATTCAAGTTGCAAATTTATTTATGGAGTTGCAAACATCCGAGAATCCAATTCGCGTCGATGTGTGTAACCCAGTAAAACTTCAAACTCATGTAAAAATCATGTAAAATCATGAAAGTTTGTAGCAAAAAGAGGCGCCTGCGATCTGTTTATGAAAGAAAGTGTATTTCTACAACTTGATTTTGCTTAGAAATTTTTGCAAATTCCGTTTGGAAATTTATTTTTGTAGTTACAAATATCCGAGTTGATTGCCGTTTTCTTTGATAAATAGTGAATTACGTACGTAAGTTTGGTAATCATCAAGGTCACAAAAAACGAGGCCTTGCGAGGGGCGTTGATGAAAGTTTGGCTGGGCGCTGAAATCGAGACAATATCCTGACTGTTTTGTCACCTTGAGCCAGATCGGATGCACCCAAAAATGGAGTCCGACAAAAATCTCGCCGTTTTCCAGAACTCGAAACCTATTAAGAAAATTTTATGTTTGTCAACTGCGTAAATTATTTGCAGGTGCAAAATATCTTTTTAGTGGAGCAAAACTTCGTGAATTTATAGTTTCTAAACAAAAATAGCGTCAAAAAGAGGCAATTTGGTAACTTTGTAAAATCCGTGCTTTTTATAAAATAATTTTGCAAACTTTTTTAAAAAAGAGACGCCCTTGATCTAAAAATATGGGAGCTATTTTTTCTCGAAATATTTGTAAGATAAGATTTTGTAAAAGTTTGTAAATTTACAAAATTTACGAAGTTTATAGGATCGGATCAGTGTAAAATTTTAGAAATTTTTTGCTACGCTGATGTAATTAACATTTGACAAACACAATTCTTATCTTTAGATTATATTCCCTTTAAAATTTTCGTAAAACTTGTATTTTGGAATTTTAGTTAAACAAATTTCTAAAAAGAAATTGGACACTTTTAAAATTAAAATTAACTCCACACTGTGGAGTTAACCCGATAATTTCAATTTTGGTGTGGAGTCCACACCAAGCATAATTATAAAATTGTTGAAATAATATGTAAAACTATGGAAGTATATCAAATAAGAAACCTAATTTTAACTGGAATTTGATTTTACTCCTGGGACAAACATATCTACACATGATAAATTATTTCCAAACTTACGAAAAAAATTCATTTCGGAATTTTAGTTGGGGAAATTTCTAAACCAAAATTTAAAAAGCTTGCACATGGCTTACAAGTAATTACAATCATTTTGCAGAACTAGAAATAATTGCTGAAATATTTGTAAACTGTGCACAATTTAAGAGGCACTTCACGCAGTCCTTGGTAACTTTGTAAACTTTGTAAGTTTTGTAAAATAATTTTACAAACTTGTACAAAATAAAAAGACGCCCTTGATCTGAGTAAATGTACAAAAATTCGGAAGCTATTTTTCTATCCAAATATTTGTAAAAGTTTACAAGTTTACAGAATTTACGGATTTTACAAAGTTACCAAGGCCTGCGTGAATTGTCTCAATTTAATTGACAGATTTAATTTATCTAGTACCAAATTTCTTCCCCGTTTTCCAAAACTTTTAAATTTGTACAGTTCGGAATTTCATTCCTGGTCCCATCAAAAGCTCCAATTTCGTCCCACTCATTCAGCGAGAAAATAGGTTCGGAATCAAACTGTGAGTTATAAATTTTCCAAGAATGTTCCCCCACTTCGAAACGATTTGTTTCCTCTGCACAGAAATATTTAAACTCGGTTTGTCCATTTTTAGAAATATCTTCAAAAAGACGATGTCCTTTAGGACAACACTTTTTAATTCGTGATCTTTTCTCATTGTTCCGCTCTTCGTGTCCCAAAAATGGCGAATAAATTGTCGTCGTCGCTGTGTCATTTAATAAACTCGGCGCATTTAAAGGTGTCGTTATTCGAGTTCTGTTCTCATTGTTCCGTTTTTCTTGTCCCAAAAACGGCGAATAAATTGTCGCCGTCGTGTTTAACAAACTCGTCGAATATAAAGATGTCGTTAAGTACGCAGAAAAGTGTAGAAGACTGACGATAACAACAAGCCCCAAAATGGACATGTTCGTTAAAGTTAATCGTATTTAGCTAACTCGTTGAAAAGTTAACTACCTATAATTATAGTTAATTGTAATAATAATGTTGACGAATTTCATTGTAGTTAAGATTTGTGTTGAGAGAACAGGTAGGAATTTAGATTTGTATCTAATAAATAATGAGGAACAGCAAGTTGACCATGACGCAAGTATCCTGGATGAATGGAAGGTAGACGAGTTCACGCAGCTCTAAACGTCAATCACTCCCTAATGGCACGAATTAATAATTAATTATTGGTAAATATGGACAAATCTCAAGTCTCATGAAAATATGGATTTGTGCGAAGATGCAGAAAAAATCGGGAAATTGTCTGGTCAAATGGCAACTATATTAATTAAATTACATTAATTTGGCACTGTTACATATTATTTTTCATTGATTATTGAGTAGCACCAATTAATTATTAATTATTAGCAAATGCAAATTTAAAGTCTTATGAAAATATGGATCAACATAAATTTATGCGAAGATGCAGAAGTAAGTTGAGAAATTGACTGGTCAAATGGCACCTATATTGATTAAATTAAACAAATTTTGCACTGTTGTATATCATTTTTCAGTTATAATTAAGTAGCACGAATTAATAATTAGTTATTAATAAATACAAATCTCAAACCGTATGAAAATATGGATTAAAGTAAAATTCCCATATTGATGGGAATTTGCATATATTTGCATATATGCAAAGATGAAGAACAAATTGGAATTATTATGCAGTAAATTAATATAAATCTTATCAGAATCTGGAGCAGAATAAAATAATTTCGGTATTTATGCGGACAAAAAATTGGAAAATTGAATGAATAAATATATAAATGTGATCGATATTTATTTAAATCTAATTCGGACTTGCAAATTAATTAGATTTGTGTAACGTTGCATATTATTTTTCATTGATAATTGAGCAAACCGCAAATCAGGGAAAAAATGCGAAATTATTGAAATTTTTCCTTAAATTCGTCAATACCCACTTTGTGATAGGAAATATATATATTATTGAGCCCAATACAAGGATCGTAAATATTTTGATTGTATATATATATACAAAATATATATATATATAAATATTTTTTTAATATTTTTTTTTGTAATATTGCATAGTTAAATGCCGTAATGCAATTTTTAAATTTTGTAATTAACGAATAATTTTAATTGTTAGATGTAACGTGGTCTTACTACTTCCTACACTGTTAAAAATACTCACACCGGCGACAACAATTTTTGAACACATATTTCAAATTTTTGAACACATATTTTAAGATCTAAAATTGGCGAACAAAATTCGGAAAAAGTTTGAAAACCTTAAATTCGATGGCAAATTACAGCGCAGGGAGGGGATTAAACAAACTTTTTTTTCAAATTTTGAAAATTTGAACTGTTCAAAAAAATTTAACGGTGTACGAAATTTCAGCTCTTAGAGTCTCAACAACAGTAATCACTAAACTGGTGTGCACACATAAATATTTTGACGTGTTTTTTAGCGAGTTTAAGACGCTGGTGGAAAAAACTTTTTCTTCCCGGTATCCAACATTGCCAAAAAATTTCCCGGTCCCAAAAATTTCCCGATTTAGTGACCTTTATAGTAATTCTTCTCACAAACTCTTTGGACAATACAATAGTACTTAGCTAATTTCTTGGTGGTTGGTTTACTAATTGTAATTACCATGCGCTTCTATTATTACATTGCATTTGATGCTACGTATATTCATTTGTGGGAATAAGAAGCAGGAAGTTTTGTTATATCCTTCAGGTTTGATCTTCAGTCCCGCGAAAGAGCAGATCAACACTGCATGTACATAGATAGGAGATTTTAGAATTTAATTGAGTGTAGTAAAGAGTAGAAACTACTACCAAACTAATGCTTTCAGTATTTTTGATAAGAAGTATTTTGTAGACAGTATGGCAGAGATAACTGTATATACGAGGAATGAACCGCGTAACTGCAAGGGTTCTCATGTTACAAATTTCTGGTTGATCTTGAGGACCAGTTAGCTTCCGATTTGAAATTAATTTTTCGAGTGTTTTCCCCCATTTATGCATCGTTGAAGGCGAGACCCACAGAGCCAGTTCTCGGTGGAAGCACCCACTGAATTCAAGAATCTTATAGCATACGTAATGTAATGCATAAGTTATTTGACGCATTTATCTTCTACCTCTTTTCGATAAAGTGGATTTATGGGAACTACAGCCAACCAGCTCACGCTTGCCAAAATTAATCTCTTGGCTATAGCCAAGGACCAAATAACCTACAGAAGTGTGCGTTTACAGGGGACCTCGAAAAATGTGTCACAAGAAAAACTTTGTCAATTTCCAACTGATTTTGCTCAAATTTTGCACACTATTGGGGATAGGGAGTACGCCATTTTTGACGACTCCATTTTTAAGTAGATGATTTTTTTCCGACTTATGGGCCAAAAACACCCTCCAGGAGGATGTTTCTTAGAGGCTTCCTCCCAAAACAATTTCGATAGAGTAATTTTGTGAACCAGAACTCTAACAATATTCAGACATAAAAAATATTATTTCGTATATTTATTGCTATATTTTTGCTTCCGCGAGTAACAAAATCGGTAGTCAAATGGCTGAGATAAGTCGGTTGGAAGTTTCCCAGCATTGGGCGCTGTTGTGGTAATAATGCCAGCAAATCATTACGCCATGCACCCCTGTTAATTGGTGAATACAGGAAAAATTAAAAAAGTTGCAAAATAAAATAAATCAAACAAACGAGATTCTTAGGTGAATAGTACATAAGTGCAACGAAAAGTTTAAAATAAAATTATTAAAATGATAACAAAGTTACTTATGTCCGTCACCGCCCGCCGTATTTTTGATACCACATAGATAAATTGCAACAACTACTCAATAATTAAATTTATTCAATTAAAACTTAGTTAATACACAATGCACTACACTTTACAGGTTTTGGCTCTCTAAGTTCAATACGGGCCGCAAATTCGCTCATCGGGTGAAGCACATTTCGACGAATAATTTCAAATTGTTACGAATTCGAAAAATGTGACGAAAAACTTCTAAAACTTTTTAGTGGTATCAAACATACAGCGAGTGGTGATGCAAATAATTGATTATCATTTTAATAGTTTTGTTTTAAACTTTCCGTTACACTTACTCTTCACATAAGAATCTCGTTTTTTCGGGTTTATTTTATTGGAGACTAGACTGAATCTTACTTTCAACTCCCTTAACAATGTTATATTTCGCCATTCAAATTTCCATTTCGGATGTTAGAGACCCCCGCTTCCTTTCAAGATTTTACACACTAATTTGCCTTATAATATTTAAAAATTGACTTGCGGTATTTATTCAAATTTGAAATGCATTTATCAGATTTTTATTATCTCCAACGATCTGAAAGATTCTAGCTAGTTTTAGCACACTGTGCATACAACTCCTCAAGACGGAGTTCTCAATTAAACAAAAATATTGATATCCGGTAGGAATTCATATTTAATAAAATATAGCTTGAAAAAGTAAATGGTTCTAATCCTAAGGTGAGGAAGTGCACTTAAAATTACTAAACAAGCTTCCCACATCTCCGCCACCCAGATAATTTTACTGCTACGCTATGTTGTATGTAGATCGCTAAACAATTCTTCATGAGAAGCATACGTGCCTAACTCAAAAACCTATTCCCAAATACTATAAAACTTGGCATAATGTCTCTCACGGACGATGGTGAGAGTGGCTGCGTAATATTAGTCAAAACAACTAATAGCCTCCAAAAAGCAGGAACCCCATAAATAATTCTGGGGTATTTGTACTGGATGCGACTAACGCATTTTATAGGTCGGACTATGCTAACCTAACGCAAATTTGGCAATTCCCGCTTTAGTCTTGACGTCGGTTCGTATTATCCGTGTTTCAAATCCTTTTCGTCCGATTTTCTTCCCACTTTCTGCTTTCCGTCCGCTTTTTCCTCCCGTTGTGTAACTTCTCCGCCTCACCCCTTTTTTCTTTCCCGTCAACTGAAAAATTGCGCATTCATATTTTATCCTCCTGCCTCGTATTTTTCATCGGTTGTTCAACTCCTTGCGCTTCTCCATTCAGCTTTCCATTTATTCCTAGATTTGTTAAAAACTTACCGAAAAGAAACGGGAGAGAAAAACGGGTTTTCCTTTACGCTTCAAATTTTTCAATTGATTTCTTCTACCCGCTTCAAATTTTTCAGTAGGTTTTCGATTTCCGCTTTGTATTTCTGTCTTCCATTTTGTCTCATCTTCCTTCCGGCTTCCTCTTTCCGTTTTTCTCCCTCGCAATTTTTTTCTTCCCTCTTCGTATTTTTTTCGGTCGTATTTTTTAAAATTTTTTTCCCTCTTTCCCGTTTTTTTCCCTTCCCGCTTGTATTTTTCGCGCTTTTTTCTCCCTCCTTCCCGTTTATTTCCTTCCCGCTTTGTATTTTTTCGCCCTTTTCTCTTCCTCCTTCCCGTTTTTTTCCTTCCCGCTTCGTATTTTTTCGCCCGTTTTTTCCTTCCCGCTTGTATTTTTTCGCGCTTTTTTCTCCCTCCTTCCCGTTTATTTCCTTCCCGCTTCGTATTTTTTCGCCCTTTTCTCTTCCTCCTTCCCATTTTTTCTTTCCGCTTCGTATTTTTTTCGTCAATTTTTTTTCTTCTCGTTTTTTCCCGTTTGTTTTGGCGACAAAAAAAATTTTGCGGCCGCCTTCGGCGCCCGCAAAATTTCCCGGTATCCTTAATACCTGGATACCAAGTTTTTTCCACCAGCGGTTTAAGATTTAATATTTTAGGACAACTTTGCAAAATTTTGTGCAAGTTAAACACCGCAATGGAGTTTTTAGAGTGTTATTAAATTCAAAAAATGATTGGCAGATCAATCTTTCTGCTTTCTTTTCTCTGAAATAAAACATTAAACCGGTACACTTTATATAATCTTAGGCGAGGATATAGCATGCCTGCTATACCCAGTGGCGTAGATGCGTGCATCCAGTAAATTAGTCACTCAGTTAATTAGAGTAATGAATTGAAAAATGAAATAGTATAGTTTCCGAGTATCAGTCAGAAATATAGGAACGCCATGTTTATGTACGTATGAAAAAATGATGTTTCATTAATTGGATTCAAACTTGAGAATGTTTGTTAACTTGTTTAAAGCCATTTTTATTTTAAAAATAGAGACTTTTCTATTTTCATCGTCATTCTAGTAAAGCAGAGTTTGACTGATAACAATGAGTAACAAGTAATTAATTATTTCTCATTAGTTAACTTATAAGTTGATTGGATAATTAAATATTTACAGGAATACTTGGATTAAATATTTAAATATAGATAAATCCATCTTACATGTTTTTCTGGGAATAAGTTTGTCGCAGGGGGATAGAAAATTCATTTGTCAGAATTGTACTAACTTTTTTCATAAAAAAATGGGAGACAATATTCCCAGAAAAACGTGGAAGAGAGAAAAAGAGAGAAGAATTAAGTAAAATTTCTTAATTCGATTATTGAGATGATTTCAATGAGATCATTGTTCTCTAATTTCTACTTACGCTATTCCAATCTAATCTAATATGTACAATTATGTTTTAACAAAATATTGAAGATATCATCCCCTCGCGTGAAATGGATAAGCGATGGATATCGTTTTCTTTCTGTGGACAGCTTAATTTACGCCTTGGCCGCAGCTGCCTTTGGTTTAGCTGGAGCTTTAGCCTTCTTTGGCTTGGGCGCTTTTGGTTTGGGTGCTGCCTTCTTCTTCAAAGCCTTGGCCTTTTTGGGAGTCGCGGCCTTCTTCGCCTTGGGGGCTGCAGCTTTCTTCTTTGGCGATTTTGCCTTCTTGGGGGACTTGACCGATTTCTTGGCGGGTGCGGCCTTCTTGGCTGCTGGTGCGGCGGCGGTGGTCGCAGCTGGAGCATCAGCAGGTGCAGCGGTGGTGGGGGCAGCAGCCTTGGTGGTTTTCTTGGTGGCAGCCTTCTTGGCACCGGCCTTTTTGGGGGAGGCGGATTTCTTGGCTTTCTTCTCACCTGAGAAAAACAGAAGAAAATACACATTTTTAGTCACAATTTAAGTAAATTTGAATTTAATCATGGTAAAAATTAGGTTAAATTACTCACCAGCAGGCTTCTTTGTGGCCAATTTGCTCTTCTTGCTGGCCGTCTTGGCCTTCTTGATGGGTTTGCCAGCTCCGAGCTTGAAGGAGCCGGTGAGTCCTTTGCCCTTGGCCTGGACGAGTGATCCGCCCGCGATGGCCGCCTTGATTCCACGTTTCATGAATGGACCCGCCTTCTCGGCGTCGATCTTGTAATTCGCGATCATGTACTTTTTGATGGCGGAGACGGAGGAACCTCCTTTCTCTCCGAGCGCCTTGACCGCGGCGGTGATCATGTCGGCCCACGCGGGGTGGGTGGAGGCAGCGGCCGGTTTCTTGGCTCCGGTCTTCTTGGGGGACTTTGCCTTCTTTGGAGCGACGGCCATTGGAGTTGGCGCAGGTGTGGCGATAGCAGCAGACATTTTCTTCTATAAAGAACAATAACAAAAATAAAATTAGTACAAAACTCAATGTAAACAGTAATTTCCGTGGCTAAACTGGCTAAAGGTAATTGACGTTCGCCACATACATAAGTAAAATTCTTGAGAAAAAGTCTGATTAATTTAATTTTAACTAATATTTCAAAAATTCCAAAGTAAATAATTTCATGAAAATCCAAACGGGAATGAAAAAATTGGGGTCAACAAACATTGTAACAAAATTAACGTAAAATTGTGGCAAAATAAATCAATTTTCCTGACAAGATAAATGATTTTCCCAAAAGCACGAAAAAATGTAACTAATTAAATTTTACGAAATTTCCTAAAAATTAAATTTCTAAATAGGAAGCAATTGCATGCAAATGTACATGAAAAAATTCTCCCATACAAAAATCCCCCGAAAAACACTTCATTCTTACAATTTTTGATTTTCCTTTAATCTCTTTCAAACTTGAACAGTAAATTCTTCCTTCTTTTCCGGTGTTCGAAACCTTGTTTACAATTTTTCACTTTTTTTTCTCGTTGGAATGCAGAATTAGATTTGCAGATGAGGAGGAAACTCGTATTGAAAACAGTCCTTGAGCTGCCGAATGGTTTTACGAGGCAGAGCGGACGCCACGGAACTCGCCTTTTCCTCTCCTCTCAAAACTCCATTTCATGCCAGGATTCTCTCCTCGGCTGTGTTTCCCTCCCCGCCTTCGTCCCCACTTCTCCCGTCCCCCGGGCCCCACACCCCCCCAAATTTCCCCGTCATCCCCAGCGACACCTCCCCCTTCAAAATGACACCTCTCTCGACCCCCTCGCCCCACCCCGAGGCCCTCCACGAGGCCCCAAAGTGGCCAAAATTCGTCTCTCTGGCCACCAATTTCTCTCCGAGGGGGTGTTCCTGGGGGGTGGTTGGTCACCCAGGACGGCCCCACTCGTCCCAAGGCAGCCCAAACTGTCGGGATGAGGGGGGCTGAAAAATATCCGCACTTTTGCGAAATTTCCCCCCACCAATTAAATCGGAGGGCGAGGCTCGCAGAGACAAAAGTGCGGTGTGCTTAGTTAGCTGGGGGATCTTTGGGGGGTTGTAGCTCGTCAGTGGGGGCACTTGAGGGGACCCGACTTGGACGGAGGGGTGCCTGATTTTGACGGGAATGTGGGTGTGACCTCGGTTCGAAGGGGGGCGGTCGACCGGCGGAGGTGGGGTCAATTGCGTAGTGACATTTCATAAGGTGAGTGTTGTAGCGAGACGTGCTTTTCTTATGGCTTGTTGACGATATAAATTTCATTTTATGGCTGAAGCTGAAGCATTGTTGACAACAATTTTTTTGGGAGGGGTGAAATTATTATGTAATCTTCTTTCCCTGCGAGGATCGGCTTTTCGTGGGTGAAAATGAGGCTAATTTTTGGATAAAATTTCGAAGTTTGAGATACTTTGTAGGCAGCTTTTTGTGTGGATTTTCTGAGAGCAGAGTTGGTTTTGGTTGGCTTGAGGAGAATTTAGTTCTCTCGCTGTCCTCGTTTTCGAGATGGTTCGATGATATCCTTGGAACGCTAATAATGCATAAATATCGTCCTTCTCCTTGTGGGTTATCGGGTCGTGATGATAAGGCCTTATCCAGATTGCGACTTGTTTAATGTATATTTAGAATAAGTAGGTAATGATGCAAGTGGGAAGAATGGCATGATTTTCTTTCATCTTAATCACTGTTTATTGCTCAAAACGAGCCTAATTAGGAGCAGGATGACTTTTTGAACTACTTTGAAGTTTCGTAACTCCCAACAATTCCAGTTTTTGGGCCAATTATGCATTTCCGAGAACAGCTTTTGCTGTGATGAAACTGTCATTTTGTTTTGGGAAGAAATTTGCGAAACCGAATTTGCAGTGAAGATCGAAACGAGTGATGAAAGAAAGAAGCAAAATAAATGACAAAGCTCCGATTTTCTCAAATATTTTGTTCTCGTTATTGGACCGAGTTAGTCCTCTGGAAAAGAAAAGTACAAAGGGTAGAAAATTAATTCAAAGAAAATAATGGGATCACGTTTGATTATATGATGTGCAAACTCGTAACGATGCAAATTTATGGTCGCAAAATAATAGAGATAAAGGATTCTCGTTAAATTTTTGTATTTCCTATTTGATCCAGACCATGAAATTTTACATGTATTTAAATATGTGTATATGCTTAATATCGAGATCTCGATGCATGTAGGGAATAGTTGCTTGTTTTTTTTTTAAATATTAAACTCTGATCAACTTGTATGATTAAGTAAGCTGTCGATGGTACAATATTTTAAATTAATAACATATATATCTATTACGATAATATATGATTTTGTTTGGACTTTTGAATTTAACAAATGTAAAAATTTCGGAATAAATATCAATATTTCCTAATATTTCTGTAATACAGCCAATTTATCTAATTGTAAATCGATCTGTGCAACCCTTCAAAATTTTTTATCCGGTATAAAAATACGACGACAATTTTTTAACCGGTCCTTAAAAGTGTAAAATGAAACAATTTCATTGTCAATTGTGAATGTTTTACCTACAAGTTTTAGTTTTTCATGGCATAAAATAAAGTACAAAATAAGTACCAACCTTCGAATTATAAGGCTTACTTTTGTACAAACGGCAAAACATATCTGACACTAATTTTAATAACTCTACATTTACATTTTGTTTACCTGGGATGAAAGTCTGACAAAATTTTAAAAAATGTATATTAATCGATATAACAATTTTAAAATGATCTAATAAAAAAAACAGAACAAAATCTGTTTTTTGAGATTTGTGGAGTATGAATCAAAATAAATAAACTAGCAAATCATCCAAGTTGCAATCCAAGTTGTTAATCTATTCAACCCTTCTAATTTTTTTATCCGGCGTGAAAATATGACACAATTTTTAAAAATCGTTCTTAAAAGTGTCATTCGAATTTCACAGATCAATAGTTACTGATAAAGTTCGGATTAATTTTTCGATGGTGCAATAATTTAATTAAGATATGTAAATTCCGTTGATATGAACTTTTTTCGACTTTTCCATTACAAAAATTTCAACACGTTTTGCATGCAATATTTCTAACTTTGTGCATTATATTTTGTAAACATTTCTGTACTTCCAATTGTAAATCAATCCTCCTAAGTTTCTTATCCGGCATGAAAATATGACCCTTTTTAAAAATCATCTCGAAAACTGTAAAATATAATGAAATTGCTAATACACGTTTTTCATGGCACAAAATAAATTGCAAAATTTTAACCATTTAAATTATATTACTTACTGAATAAATCTTCTGATAACTCCGTGAAATATATCTATTCTACAAATTTGGTTGTTCTACATTTATATTTTGTTTGTGTAATTGCTGTAATTGCTGTACACTGCACTGCATTCAAGATTTCGATGGAATATTTACTTGTTTTTTAATATTAAATTGTAATCAAGTTGTGTAATTAAGTTTTCGATAGTACAATATTTCTATTTAATACATATTATGCGTTTTTTGGGTAATGGGTCCCCTGTTTGAATTTGAAATCCGCCCGCCACCATGTTAACTTACGGACGAAATGAAACAGCGGCAAAACCAGGGGGGCCCATTACCCAAAACATTCATAATAGGTAAGCATATTTGAATGATATGAAATTTAGCATTACAAAAATTTCAAAATATTTTTCAGTGTTTCTAATTTTTCGTATTAAATATCAATATTTTGTAAATATTTCTGCATAATAATATAATAATAGTAATAATTAAATACCAAGTCATTCATAAACAAACCAGATAATTTCGAACGAGGCTTTATTTCATCTAGTTGTAATTTAAACACTTCAACCCTTCCAAGTTTTTTATCTGGCATGAAAAATTTACAATTTTTTTAATGAAATAATTTCATTGCGAATATTTTACAAGTTTTGGTATAAATTAGTGTTAACATTCAAATTATGGGAATTTGAAAGCTTATTCATGAATTACTACAAGCAAATCTGATACTTATTTTAATTGCTCTACATTTAAATTATGTTTATCTGGAATGAAAGTACGACAACATTTTTAAATTTCTAAAAACAGTAAATTTAAGAGGTTTAAGAAACAGTAAATTTTACTTATTATCATTTAATTAATCAACTTAATTAATTTATTAATCTATCAGCTATCTATTAATTAGCTTAATTTTACTGATTAATATTACTCCCCGTCGGTCTACGTTTTAATAGGTTTGACCCATGTGTCCCACGACAAAGACTGGATTTTGATATGAATCTCGTCTCCTAAATTGTGAATTTTACTACACGAAAAACCGCACGGTAATTAGAGTTTAAAATGGCGATATTTTTCAAGTTCTCGTAAAAATTCAGGAATAAGTAAAGTGAAGTAAAATATACTGTTTCATTTAAATGTAATATTTAAACCCCTTAAATTTGAGAAATCACAAATTTTGTAATATAATATTTTTATGCCAGGTAAGAAATTTGAAAATGTTGGGGAAGTAAATTTTTAAATAGATTCCAAGCTCGTAGACTTGATGTAAAATGTTAGATCATTTTGAATGTTTTGTAAATATGTATGTTTCATAAATTTTATACATGTGCAAATAGCTTCTGATCAGCAATGACAATATTTGACATGATTTTATTGATATACAAATTTGCCTACTTTTATATCTGTAATTTGTAATTTTGTCATACCGGATACAAAATTTAAACATGTTGAGCAATTAAGTTGAACAAAAGATCTACTCTTTATTTACTTCTTGCAATTTTTAATTTAAAGTCATGCTTTTACGCGTTTTGTAAATAAGTTTCATAAATTTTGACGTCAAGAAATTTAAAAATGTTGTCAGTTTACAAATATATTCTTCTGTTTTGGAAAATGTCTCCTAAATTCTACTGTATATTCATACCAGTTTCTGGTCCGCAATGACAAAACTTGACATGATTTTATCCATATAAAAATTTGCCTACTTTTTCATCTGTACCATCTTCAAGGAAAAAATGGCGACTCATTTCACCCCGATTTTCCCTCCACATCCACCCAATTTCCGGTCCGTGAAGCAGCAGGGTCCCGCTTCTTTCATCGGAAGAAAGGTATCAATCTGCAGCATCTGCCGTTATGCACAATATCAAAAAATCCACAAGTTTCACTTTATTACGCAACTCGCCCTTTTGTCCCTGATGCGATGTAGTAGCCGACCTGGAATGGAAAGTGTGTATGCAAGCACGCGTCCCTTATTTCATCTGCTGCTATTTTTCGGGCTATGGGACACCTTTCCCTCGAAATAAGCCCTCCAATTTACTGTTTCATTTGCCCGGAGTTCTTAAAACGAGGATAGAGTTTTACGAGGGAACTGGCCAAGGTGTACAGCTGCTGCTCCCATAATGCATGAATCCACAATTACATTAGCCGAATTATTTTATTGTTTCCCATGATTTCTACTTCTATTATTTTTATTTTGGCGTTCAAATTATTCAATTTCGTAAGACTTGTACCCCAAAATAAAAATAATAGAAGTAGAAATCATGGGAAACAATAAAATAATTCGGCTGTTCGGCTAATGTAATTGTGGATTCATGCATTATGGGAGCAGCAGCTGTACACCTTGGCCAGTTCCCTCGTAAAACTCTATCCTCGTTTTAAGAACTCCGGGCAGATGAAACAGTAGAGGCTCCAAACCCTCCACATCTCTCTACCTTCTCACCGTGAAAACCTGCTTTTACCTTTACTACTCGCACAGGAATCTCATTCAACGAAATGAGACACGACCCACATTGTCGCATCTCACCCCCCGAGTGAGATTGCTGCTGCTGCTGGACTGGGTAAAATCTCATTCTCAACTGCTTTTATTTTGGTCGCATCTCACCCCCGAATGAGGCAATTTTCTCTCCCCATTTTAATTAATTTTACTTCAGGCCAACTCATTTCCACTCTTAAATAACACTTTATTACGTAATTTGCCCCAATATAAAGTAACAAAAAACAACTTTGATCAACAAATATGATGGAAATTATACACATCTTAATTAAATACGACATTTCTGAGAAAATTATTTCTTGGCTCATTAATTACCAACTTGCACCCAATGTTATCGTTTAACTATGGCGCAAGTTGCCACATATGAACGGGGCAGTATTCGTCTTTCTAACAATCCGAAAACTAGAATTGCTGTGACATAAACTTGACCAGAATAATAAAAAACCGGTCTCATCTCCATTAATTAAATACTGATAATCTCTGCGAGTTTGTCATAGTTTTACATGGCTAAATTAATGACTCAATTAAGTATACAGTTAGTAATTAAGTATTTAAATATTTTCTGAACGCGTTATTCATCAGTCTCATGAATTAATTCTTGGTATGTTTTCCTTGTTCTTTTTAATATCACAGCTTTATTTAAAGAAAATTCACTACTTGTAGTCCCAAAGGTCCAAATTTCGTGGCGGTGGCGGCGTCAATTTTGTCGATTTTTTCTCGGCGTCACAATGTCGAAGACACAAGAAATCAGATTTGGCGAGGTAAAATGCTGCCAGCGACATACGATCGACGGCGTCGACCTCCACATATCTTATCACCAACGCTGTCCTGCTACTTGCAGTAACAGTACCTCTCAAGCAACGAGGTCTCCACACAATCCGCCGGTCTCGATATTTTATTCATCCTCAACAAATCCGTCGTCACATTAAACCAAACTTGACCCTTTGCTCCACTCTGTCCAAAATCCACCGTCGCTTCAAACATAAATTGACCCGGGTTAGTGTAGAAAGTGACGAGATATGTCCCCTCGGTCGCCCCATTTTGCATCACGGCCGCCGCCACGACCCTGTCCAGCACCACCGGGACGCACTTGGTTTTCGGAATAACACTGTTTAAATATTTTACCGCCTCCACGGCCGCCTGGAGAACGAGGGGGTCCGACGCATTCACCTTTTTTGGGGGGAGGCACGCACAAAAGTTGGTCTTCACCCCGGCATCGGAGCATCTTCTGAGCGGCGAGATGGGGACGAAGAGCGACTGGCCGCGGGCGCGCGTAGTGTCAAATTTGGGCGGTTGACCGCGGCCGTCAGCCTCTTTTTCCCGAGACGAATACGCATCTAAGACATGGCTCATCATCTGATAAAGGTCGAAGGGTGACGATAAGCGCGCCGCGTTGAGCGCGAGCGCGTCCGCCCACGTGGGAAAGGAAGCTTTGACTTTGGCGGGAAGGTAAATCGAGAGAACGGGTAGTTTGTCCTCGTACCAGCCGGGAAGCGTTTCGCGGATGGCGCCGTAACGTTGGCCGTGGTCCGAGAGGAAGATGAGGATCGTGTTGGAGAGGTCGACGCGAGAGAGGAAATTCGTCACCGTGGCGTCCGCGAAGCGCGCCCCGTTGATGTCGAGGTGGGCGAGGGAGGTGAGCCAGGAGTGGATGAAGACGGGGGTGGAGGAAGAGTGCGACATTATGGAGGAAATGTAGGATAGCAGGGTCTCTTCTGTGGTGGAGGTGCCGATACAGTCGGTGTGGTAGTAGTCCTAAAATTAAAATTGAACGAATTGGTTTTATAAATAGCGACGCCAAAATTTAATGACCTCAAGATAAGCTTTGTATGTATTCAAAGTGTAAAATATTTGGAAATCAGGGCAACTATCTTAGGAAATTGTGTCCCACATTACAAAAAACCTTACAAAAATTGGGGTAATTTTCGGAATTTGGGATGTGAAAACTTAAATTTCCAGAAATGGGACGCCTTCAGTCAAGGAACGGTACGTATTTTACATTTTGCATGTTGCAAATTTGCGACATTTGGTGATTGAGAAAACACTCGAAATTTTGACTACAACTCTTAAATTAGAGACTAAAATTCACTCCAACCCAAGGTCACATTTTCCATTAAATATTGACCTCCAGATAACTGTAATTAAGAAGAAGGTAAGTAAATATGTATGTATTTAGTGGTCACCTTTCTCGGCAGGCTCTTGTGCACTTGGAGCATGAAGGGGCGAAAGTAAAAGTCCGTCGGTTCCTGAACAAAGCCGACCTTCAAGTAGTTGAACCCCACGAGACCCGGCGCGTCCTCCACCGTCGCCGTGAGATAGTTCGCATCAGAAAAACGTTTCCAAATATAGGGGCAAAAATCTTGCGGTGTTTCACGCGTTAAAATGCATCCCTCCAGCAGCTCGGGATCCACGGCGGGGTCAAAACCCGTCAAAAATCCGGCCGTGTTTGGGAAAGTGTTCTCTCCGACTGAATAAAAATAATGCGAAAAAAAATTCAATAATTCTTTTAGATTAATTTTTTTCAATAATTAAGAAGTAATAATGTGACATGTTAATCTGTAACGGAAGAAAACAGATCAAAAATTAACTTGTTAAAAACTCTAAGATAGATAATTAGTCATTTCAAAATTATGTGATTAAAACGTTCCGATTTCCGCAATGAGCAAAAAGTTAAAATTTGTGTTTGAAAAATCAGTTTGTAAATTTGTGTTTGAAAATTTTGGTAAAAATCCAATATTTCGTCATTGAGTCAATTCACGCAAGTCTTTGTAACTTTGTAAAATTTGTTGACTTCAAATGAATAATCAAATGAATAATTCATCCAGGTCTTGGTATGTTCGAGTTGAGTTTTATGGGAACCTACTTTAATAATTAAACCATATTTAATTTACCTCACTTTTATTTATTGGCGTAGAACCTTATCAATTTTTTTAAAAATTTTTTGCCTCAAGGAGACCTGCCGGGAAGTCTTTGATAACATTGTAAAATCCGTAAATTCTTTACAAAATTTTACAAATTGTTTCTGAGAAAAATTAGCCCCCAAATTTTTGTAAACTTGCTCAGACCAAGGGCGTTTCTTGATTTAGTAAAATTTAGTAAAATTATTTTTTAAAATTTACTGATTTTACAAAGTTACCAATCACTGCGTGAATTGCCTCACTATTTTCCAACTTATTTCCTTAATTAAAACTAATTCCATCACAATTTTGGAGTTGTAACCTACACAGATAACCTCTTATCTTCCCACCTTTCGTATATCCCATCATCTCCACGGCCCCGATCCCGTCTAGGAATGTCTTTGTGAGGTTGAAGCTACGATGATAGTTCATCCTGGAGAGTGAATCGATCCCCAACATGACCACGGAAGGGGGCAAAGGCCTCGTCAGGTCACGACGGGTCGCCCAATACGCCACTTTCGCCAAGGACTCCGCCTTCCGTGCCTTCGGAATGGCGACAAACTCCCGATAAACGACCTCGCCCAAGTACGGCCAGGACGTCGAGGTGCAGAAAACCCGGGCAAAATCGTGGTCCGGAAGGGGGGTCACTTTTTCAAGCGGGGTGCAGGTCGAAGTGTATCTGGAAAGGTCACAGAGGTCAAAGGTTAACATGCATATTTTCCAATCTGCCGATTTTTTATACGAAATACTTACTCGACCTGGTTGTCCGCATTTAAGTCGAAATTTTCTAAAGTTTGCGTCACGCGGATGATCCCCTTGTAGCAACAGCGTACCGATGACATCGAGTACCCTGACGCTATCACGGCGGTGTCGTTGATGCAAATTTTCTAATAAATAATAATTAGTTATTGGAAAGTTTTAATTTAAAAATTGGGAAATTATTTAAAAATTTACCGCAGGACTTAATGACTTATAGCCAAAATCGTCAAAATAAGTACGTGCGTATTTAATCATTTCTCGGCTCTGATAACTTATTTTGAAATTCTGGGCGACAAATTTGTGGAGCTGATCGTTGCAAATTTTTAAAAATATATATATACACTCCAGGTTTTGACAGTTTTTGAAAGAGGTCACCTCAAGTTTAAGACGCTTGTAGAAAATTGGAACTCGTCGAAACTGGCTTAAAAACTCACTACCATTCTATTAATCAGCTTATCAGCTGCAAATTTGTCAGCTAGAATTTTAAAATAAATTCCCAGAGGGTGGAAATGATTTAAAATGTGCTTCTTTAGCCAATGAGTCACCCAGTCATGCACGCGTGAACTCAATTTTTGCCAATATCTCTGCATTTAAAAAATCCTCCCATACCGAATTTTTTACATAGACCCATTTCCGCCCATTGTTCCGCTGCGAACAGTCGGGTGGGGTTATCTTTGGCTTGATAAAGTCCAGAATAGCCGGCTCCCATGGACTAAGCTTGAGAATTTTGCAGTGTTCCGTATCCACCACGTATTCCAGCGAGCCGGGAGCACCCCCATCGTCCAAAAAGTCTGACCATATCAATTACTTAATTACCCACTTATCTTACTACTTCCTTGATAAGCGCATATCCTTACAATTTAACCCGTACGGATTCCCATACTCCGTATTGACCCAGTTATAGAAGAGGACGCATCCCGTGAAGGCGAACGTCCAGAGGACCAGCGTTCTTTTCCTGACGAGTCGAATCGGCCGGAAGAAGAGAGAAGAACATCGCGGAATAATCGTCATTGGCACGGATTGGTAGATTTTTATCGAAAAACATTACCGACCGATAGAAATTACTTCCTTGAGACGATCGAGAGTGCATACAAATTATTCATAGCAGCGAGCTACGCCATATCGATAAATCAGTACCTAGTGCTCGGCACGAGACGAGACGAGATTTCCTTGTCTCGTCTCGAAAGTGACTAATCGAGACGAGACGAGATGACGTCTCGAATCTCGTCTCGAATCTCGTCTCGAAATTTTCGAGATGCATGGTCTCGTCTCGCGCCGAGCACTAGGTACTGGTACCTTTCGCAAATAATTTCGCAAATAATTTCGCCATGCAAAGTAATCCTGAGATATTTCTCACACTGATTGGCTACTCGTAATGTATCACATCGGTACGTTTGAGTACCCAGTCACAAATAATTTCCCCATGCAATGTATGTAATCCTGCAATGTTTCTCACGCTGAATGACTAATAAAATATCACATCACGTCATCCCACAATATTTCGCGTAAGCAAATCTTCCACTACGATTTGCAGTCGGTAAATAATCTGTATGTATTTAAAACCGGGTGACCTCACAATAATCTGTGTTTAACTCGACAGATTTGTATTTATGGACAAGCTGATCTGATCTGAGTTCCGGCTTTTTATAATTTTGACGTGTTTGATCTTTCCCAAATTCGACTGATCCTTACTTATTTACAAGCTGATCTGATCCGTATTCCGGCTAAAACTAAACTAACTATTTAACTGGATATACATTTATACGAGAGGAGGATATGAATGAAATGAAAGCTCAAATCCGACCCACCGACCGAACAAATGTATATATACATATCTAACTATCTGCCCTTTTTATCTCGCTTTTTTATCAAGAAGACCACGCATGCATGTACATATTCATCATCATCATCATACATATTTAGTGAAGAAGAATGGTCGATCCTGAGTTAAAGGTTTGCCCACCAAGTAGTAAAATAACAAAGGTAAAGTAATATAAGTAAGTAAGCTCGGGCCTCGCGTATATATGACCATACTTTACGTAATATTTGCTCAGTTTTATACGTACGTATATTCAGATATGTATGTAAGTAAGTCTGCATGTGCTGTATCATCGGATCGCTATTAATGTGCGCTTTAATGGGCAAATAAACCAAAAGTTTGCCCCTCGCTTGGTTCTTCGGGGAACCTTTTTACGTGTTTTACCAATGACACGAATATCTGTACTCGGCAAAAAATTAGGTATTCGCATGTAACACAACCGGCGCTGCTAAAGTAAATTAATGGCTGGATGGATATGGATGTCTTGTTTGTTGGTTAATTCTATAGGACTTGATGCATAGCAAATTTACATATGTACTCGATGCATAGTGCTCTCGAGTGAAGGACGTATATGAGTGTCAATTTCGTTCAATTGGGAAGGAAGGATAGAAGAGAGTGGGGGATATAGTAGTGACTTGACTTTTTGGTGGTATGTTTACTTTACACGCTATGTATCTGATTTTCGCATGTGCGAAATGTTGCGAATCTAAGATATACTTACATATGCACAAATACCCTATTAGTAGAGGGAAAGGATGCATATAGAAATAGAGGCAGAGATGAGAATATGTATGAAAATACGTATTTAACTCGGTGTGAGATGGCTGAATATAGCATAACTTGACTCTTTTGATGCGTTGTTTACTATGTATCTTAATTTTCGCATGTGCGAAATCTTGCGAATCTAATGTATACGAATGAACAAATATGAGTAGAGAGAAAGGATGCAGGCATAAGTATTATTAGTACGTATTTACCATAAGATAGCCAAAAAAGCTTGCAGGACCTGAAATTATGTATGTACATGTGTATGTGTAGCTGGGTGAGTACTTGACTTGCTATAGAATTGTGTACAGAAAAAAAATGTTACGTAATGTTGTTAGAAGGCAAGTTATGTAAGGGGTGAGTGGTTGGTTGGTAGTATGAAAAAAGAGATTTAAAGGAGACCGATGTTGAGGAACTGGATGCAAATACTTGCATATTAGTTTTCGGATTTTTAAAAGACGATTAAATTCATAAAATTGCTCCGTTTAAATTTGCTAACTTCCACCATCATTTAATAATATATAGAGTGTATTTTAAAAAAAAACTTGAATTAAAGTAAACTATATTTAGTTAAAGATTATTAAATATCTACCTAATTTAACTTAATTTAATTTTGTAACATGTCAGATTTAAAGCATGATTGTATTATTTCATTGAAGTTAATAGATTCAAAATATAAAATACAGGTTTAGTAAAACAAAAACTTTCAGACTTTGTGTATTTTTGCGCATCGCTGTTTCAAACTCGATATTTCATTTTAGTTTTGCAAGATTTCTATGATCAAAAAATTTCTGTTTTAATTTTTTTTTAATTTTCTAGATTTAACTAGTTATTTGGTGCAAGTTGGCAACGAGCGAAAAATTAATAGTTGTCATATTTAGTTAGTATGTAATTTCAATCATACAATTTTTATTGATCAAAGTGGTCTTTTATTAATTTATACTAGGACAAATTACCTACGTAATAAACTGTTATTTAAAAGCGGACATGGGTTGGTGTTAAGTAAAATTCATTAGAATGGAGGAATTAATGTAGAGGAGAATAAAGATTGTGTCAGTCTCATTCTGGTGCGAGACGAGATGACCGAAATATACACTCTTAGAAATCCAGTGGTCTTGATTATGACCATTTATAAAAATTTCCTGCTCTAGAGGAGCTAGATATCTGCAAGATTAACTTGCAAAAAATTGCTAAGGGTAGACGCCCTATTTTAATTTGGGGGAGGTTTAAGAACTGCAAAAGTAAACAGATGACCTCTAGGAACTTTGCTAAAAAATGAACTTTTATGGTTTATCTACATTCTTGGAAGTCCAATAGTAAAATAATACCAAGCGGTGTTAACATATGACTCTGCAAAAAGTGATATTGATAAGTAATACCGTGTAGTAACAGCTCGGTATTAAAGGACTAAAATATCGATAAATATAACAAATTTGTACACAGACCGGTATAATTTTATACCAACAGGTATCACGTACATAGATTAATACCGAGAAATCAATCCATGTGAGACTACGAATGAGATTTTGTCCAGTCCAGTCCAGTAACAATTCTCTCGGGGGGTGAGATGCGACAATGGGTAGTGTCTCAAGTCAAGCCGTGGAATGAGATTCCTGTGCGAGTAGTGAAGGTAAAAGCAGGGTTTCACGATGAGAAGGTAGAGCGATGTGAAGGTTTGGAGGGCTTATTTCGAGGGAAATGTGTCCTATAGCCAGAAAAATAGGACAGCAGATGAAATAAGGGACGCGTGCTTGCACACTTTCCATTCCAGGTCGACCACTACTTCGCATCAGGGAACAAATTGAAGGGTGATCACAAAAGGGCGAGTTGCGTAACAAAGTGAAACTTGTGGATTTTTTGATTCTGTGCATAACGGCAGATGCTGCAGATTGATACCCTTCTTCCGATGAAATATGTTCTCCGGAAAAAGCGGGACCCTGCTGCTTCACGGACCGGAAGTTGGGTGGACATGGAGGGAAAATCGGGGGTGAAATGAGTCCACCTTTTTTTCCTTGAAGATGGACCAGATAAATATTTGTAAATTTGTATATAAATAAAATCATGTCAAGTTTTGTCATTGTGAATCAGAAACTATTTACTAACTAATATATATGTAGAGTATTTAACAGTAAAACTTATGAGGCATATTTATGCATGAGAAAATAAGATTTCGGATGAATCTATTTGTAAACTTGATTGTATAACATTTTTAAATTTCTTACCTGACATGAAACAATTACACAAATTTATGAAACACGTTAACAAAGCGTTTAAAAACGTATAAGTTTAACATAGCACATTAGTACAGAAGACAAATCTAATTATAAATTTAATTCCTCAACGTTTCCAATTTTTTTTAATGGCATGAAGGCATTACATAATTATTTACTTTATGAAACATATTTACAAAATACGTAAAAAATATGGATGATTTTAATTTAAAAATTAAGGACAACGGATTCATTTATGAATTTAATTACTCATCATTTTAAAATTCCTCAGCTGGCATGAAAATACGTAATATTTTCGCGTATCAGAAACTATTTATGTTATGTACAATATTTAATATTAAAATTTATGAAATATATATTTTTTAATTATAAAAATATATTGCATTTTAAATTAAAACCTGCTGGCGTAAAAAAAATCTACTCATGAATTAAATTGCTTAGCATTTTGAAATTTCTTGTCTGACTTGAAAATATCACAAATATTACAAATATATTACAAAATCGTAGTTTCTCAAATTGCTTTTAACTAAATTTAAATTTAAACAAAATTTTAGGGCTTATTACACATTTCTGAAATACTTGAAACAGTATATTTTATTTTATTTTCCTTATTCGTAAATTTTGGTTCATTTCGGACGAGAGCTTGAAAAAAAATGTCGCCATTTAAACCTGTAATCACTCCCTCTGCGATTTTTCAAAAAGCAAAATTTATAATCTATGCATGTATGATATGCACATCAAAATCCAGTTTATCACAACGTATAGACTGACGATGAGTATTAATCTAGAAAATTAAGTTAATTACTGCGTTAGTAATACTAACTTAAAAATAACGAAATAAAGTCAATTAACTGAATTGTAACAGGTACATAAAATTTATTGTTTCCTAAATACGTAAACTCTTAAATTTACTGTTTTTTAGAAATTTAATTTTGTCAGGTGTTTGCATCCCAAATAAGAAAAAATTAAATGCAGAGCACCAAAATTAGTAGATTAGACATGTTTCGCATAATCATAAGAAGACAAAAAATAGAAGGATTTAATAGATTAATTCACAATTAGGTAAATTGGATGTATTACAGAAATATGTACAAATATACCTATGTAAAAAATATTGATACTTCATACCAAAAGTTAGAAATGTAAAACATTTTGAAATTTTTGTAATGGAAAAGTCGAAAAAATTCGCTTCCTACAAATATATTTCTATGAATTAAAATATTGTACGATTGAAAACTTTATATACCTAATTTAGTAACTATTGATCTTTGAAATTTTAGTGAAACTTTTAAAAAAATGATTTTTTTTAATTTGTGGCATATTTTCATGTCGAATGAAAAATTTAGGAGAATTGTCCAGATAATTTACATTAAACAGTTTCCAAATAGGCTATGCAGACAGATTTATTCAGGATTTGTTGAAACGGTATTTGGTCCATACTTCACAATTTTTAAACAACAGGTTCCCTTGTTGATTGATTTTTTGATGCAACTGTTTTTAGAGTGTGTAATTGTTGAAATTTAAAGAGAATTCTACATCTCATTATTATTTTGAGACCATAAATTCGCAGCATTACGAGTTTTCACATAATCTCATTAAACGTGATCCGACTCTATTCTTTGAATTAATTTTGCATCCTTTGTACTTTTCTTCTCCGGAGAAAAAAATAAGGGTTTAATAACGATAACGAAATATTTGAGAAAATCGGAGCTTTGTCATTTATTTTGATTGATTGATTGATTGATTGATTTATTACAATGAGGCACCCCATTACATGGGACTTTACACCTCAAGGATATTTATTATTTGCATCTTTCTTTCACCACTCGTCTTGATCTGCACTGAAAATTCGGTTTCGCAAATTTGTTGACCATTTCTTGTCATCTAAGTTTCATCACAGCAAAACCCAAAAGAAATCTCACTCGGGGGGTGAGATGCGAAAATGTGGGTCGTGTCTCATGTCGTGGAATGAGATTCCTCTGCGAGTAGTGA